GGGTGACTGACATATCTGGAGGCAGTAAGATCCCTATCTTCGGAGGTATTTAAACATGATTTATACAATCACTTGATAGGGTTGTTGAAAAGCTATCAGTATAGGCTTAGCCACTAGAATAAATTCCTTTCTAGTCCTATGTGCCTATGATTCTATGGCCACCATACTCTTTCACTATGCAATAGGAAAAGTAAAGGTTTCCTTAGTCATTTTACACTGAATGATAGTATGCACACTCCTGTTCCTGCTGCAATATCATCTCAGCATTAAAATGTTGGAGCTAATCAGATATTTAATTTCAAAGTGGAAGGTCATTATCTTGTCACAAAATTTTATTCCAATTACTTTTTTTTCTATTATATGAAATGAATTAAAAGTAGCACAAAACATGGGGAGATCAAACAGTCAATCAGAAGCTCATTAAATATCATTGAAATTGGTGCAATAAAAAGCATTTCCCATGGCTGAGTTATTATTTAAAAGCTATATTCGAGATGGCACACGGAATTGACATACTGCCAATCAAAAAAATCACCCTGTCCATAAATAGCCCCTTGACTTTTAAGAGTTCACTATTTTTTGGGGGATAAGAGTAAATATCTGAAAAGAATTAAAGCATGAATGTAATTACCATGCCATCAGCCCCTATGAGACCCCCCAAGAAAAGGTATCAGCAAAGCCAGTATCTGATAATTTAGACTACAATTTAGACCAAGATATTTATTGAGTGCTACCAGTGATTCTTTTTTTTTATAAACACTTCAATACATTTCACTTGTACTTAAGAGTTGTAAAATAACAACTCTGGTTTAGAGGAAATAAGAAAATGGCTCATTCTGAGCCAAATATAAGTGACCATGGCCCAGAAACACAGATTTAAGTTACCCTGAATAACATGATCCACTGTAGAAGAGGTGTGAACTTTCATGATGCAGAAAAAGGTCATAAATCAATAAATTTACCTCTGTGGGGGGCATTAGATAGGTAGACTACAACAGAGAAATCTCTTCTGTAGGTTTCAGATGTTAATAACTTTCTTAGCTTTATAGTGGATGGAGATTAGAGGTCTGCTAAGTTAGCGATACATTCCAAGCTTCACCTAGTCTTCACGAGAGTGTTAGGTCAGATACAGAGGTGAAAGTAAATGGCCATTAGAGGTACTAAGATAGCCCAAGCTAATTTTGCCTTTCAATCTATAACATTCCATCTCTCCACAATCAGAATGTTCTACTTAGTCAAGGGCAAACAGTCTGGAAGATCATTAATATAGATGTGGCTTCTTGAGAGAATTTCAGTGCCACACATTATGTACAATCCTCAATTAAGTACAATCCCAGGCAGAGAAGAGTGCTCAGTTATAATTTTAAAATTATGTATAACTCTACACTTGGAGTACATCCCATTTTGTTATTTATTTATTTATTTATTTATTTATTTATTTATTTATTTTTGGTGGTGGTACTGTGGATTGAACCCAAGACCTTCACACTGAACTACATCCCCAGCCCTTTTTAATTTTTTCTCTTTCTTCCTCCCTCCCCACCCCACCCTTCTTTCTTTCTTTTGACAGGTTTCACTAAGTCATTAACCTGTCCAAGGTGGGCTCAAATTTGCAATCCTTCCTCAGACTCCAGACTCCTGGAGGGCTAGGATTATAGGTGTGTGCCACCATTTCCAGCTCCATTTTATTTTCTAAGGAGTTATTATTATGCACTCCATTTTCCTATGGACACAAACACAGGTACCTTCTCACACAAATATCTGAAAGTGAATCATTTTAAAATTTCTAACAGTCTTCTTCTGGGAGCCATCTTTTTTTATTTTAATTTTTTTCTTTAGTCAAACCACTGTCAGTTCTTTTTTGGACTGCCATAATAAAGTGCCTGAGATTGGGTACTTTATAAACAATAGAAGTTTATTTAGTTCATGGTGCTGGGGGCTGGGAAATCCAAGATTGAGGGGGCACATCTAATGAGGGACTTGCTCCTTCATCATAACATAGTAGAAAGCATCACACCCTTGAGAGCGAGCAACAAATTGAGCTCAGAGTCTCAAGCCCTTTTACACTCAGCATTAATCCATTCACAAGGATGAAGCCCTCATGACCTAATCACCTCCCATTAGGCTTCACTTCCCAACACTGCTGCAGTGGGGATTGAGTTTCCAACACCTGCTTTTTGAGGGACACAGTCTGATGTAGGTCCCCCAAATCATGTCCTTCTTACATAAATTCATTCCATTCCACATATATTCATTCCATCCCTATAGCCCCAAAGTCTTTTTTTTTCTTTTGTACCGGGGATGGAACTCAGGTCCTTCCCCTTTCGAGGGAGGCAGCCGAACCACTGAGCTAAATCCCCGGCCCAGCCCCAAAGACTTTAGTCCAGTGCCAACTTAAAAATCAAAAGTTCAGAGTCTCATCTAATTTAGATATAGGTGAAACTAAGGCACAATTCTTCCTGAGGCAAATTCCCCTTCAGCTGTGAGTCAGTAAAGTCAAACAAGTTATCTATAGTACTTTCAAACTGCAGCAGTGGGGTGGGGATTAAGTCTAAAACCCAACAAGGCAAACAACATTAAATCCTAAGCCTCTAGAATAATCTTTTACTCCATGTACCACTTCCTGGACTCACAGAGGATTTGGGTCCCCCTACCATCAGGTATCCCACTCCTAATCCTCTGCAACTCTCCCAGGCTGGAGTTGAACATTAACACCTCCATGTTAACATTCCATGGCTCTACTAAGGCACTGCCCTTAGTAGGGGCTTTCTGTGATGGCTCTGTACCTCTGACAAGTCTGCCTCGTTTCCCAGCATGTCCAATACATGTTTTAAAATTTAGGTGGAAATTTAGGTGAAATTTAGATACACAAGCCATAGCTCCATAGCTTGTGTACTCTGCACATCTGCAAAATTAGCACCACACAGATGCCTCAAAGGCTGACCGGAGCCACTCCTGGGTTCACTGAAGCCATCCTGCACCAGAATGCAGAAACAAAGTCCCAAGTGGCCCTGAGAAACAAAGGCTGAAATCCCACACACACCTGTCTTGAAACCTTTCCCTCAAAGATCTCTAACATGCCTTCAGGGTCATCAGGGTCATTTTCCCAACATCCTGATGAAAAGAACCTGGCTGCCTTCTTCTTTTTTTTTTTTTTTTTGGTACTGGGGTTCAAACTCAAACTCAGGTCCTTTCGCTTGTGAGGCAGGCACTGTGACACTCAGCTAAATGCCCACCCACCCCTTCTACCCATTTTTAATCTCTTTAGCAAAGGGTCCCTTGGCCACAACCTTAGTATTCTCTCCTGAAAACACTTTTTGCACTCTTCGAGGATCCAGGCTGCAAATTCCCAAATATTTCTGCTGTTTCCCTTTTAATTGTAAATTCTATCTGTACGTCATTTCTCTCTTCCCTCCTTTTACTCTAAGGCACCAAAAGAAGCCATGAAGCACCTTCGATGCCTTGCCACTTAGATAGTTCTATGAGAAATCCTAGTTCACTGCTCTTAAAGTGGGTCTTCCATAAATTCCTAGGACACAATTCCACCAATTCCTGTACAACTATATAACAAGAATAGCCTTTAGTTCAGTTTCTAATACTTTGCTCCTCATTTCCACTGGAGATCTTGTGGCTTTCACTATACATATTTTTTACTAGCATTTTGATCAAAACTACTTAAGTAATCTCTAAGAAGATCCACACTTTCCCTATGGTTCTCTACTGATTGCCTTATTAGAATGGCCATTAATATGCCATTCAGGGAAATCTCAGCTTTTTCTAGTCTGTTCCTCCAAATTCTTCCGGCCTCTATCCATTACCTAGTTCTAAAGCCATTTCCACGTTTTCAGGTAATTTTTATAGCAACAGTCCCACTTCTCGTTACCTACTTTTTGTCTTAGTCTGTTTTGTGCTACTATAGCAGAATATCACAGACTGAACAGTTTACAAAGAACAGAGATTTCTTTCTTTCAGTTCTGGAGGCTGGGAAGTCTAAGATCAAGGAGTAACATCCAGTTAGGGCCTTCTTGCCATGTCACAACATAGCAGAAGGAATTATATGGTGAAAAAGAACAAGAGATCAAACTCTCAGACTCAAACTTCTATAAAAGGCATGAATCCCTTCATGAGAGTACAGCCTTCATGACATAAGCACCTCCCCTTAGGCCCAACCTCCCATTACTGTTGCACTGGGGATAAATTTTCCTACACATCCTTTTTGGGGGACACTCAAACCAAAGCAACCACTAATTGGAGCATTCAATTTTATAAAAAGGGCTACTTTTTGATACAGGATTGCAGATCCCTTTAGTAATTAGTTGGTAAAGTATAACAAATAACAATGGAAGTATTGTTTCCAATTTTTTAAAGGTGTTTAAGAGGTTAAGATGACACAAATTAAAAATACCTAAGCAGAAGACAAAGCCTTCAGGTCCAGGAAATCATTTCTTCAATAAAAGGACTGAAGGATATCTCCCCCTAAACCACCATACTACCACCTCAATTTCTTTTCAAAAGCTAGGACTCCCTGGCAAATTAGCTGGGAATAAAGTGGGAGGGAACAACATTTCAGTGCAAAATTCTGAACTGCTCTATAGAAAGGAAAGTGTGGATAGGTTTGTTATCACTTATTTCCTCCAGTACATCATTCAATTTCAGCTGTCTCACGTTTCAGAGGTAGCTCCCCCATTTCTCACTTATGTGCTTCAGAAACATCTCCCTGGCATCTCATTCTCTCTGTCTTTCACCAGGATTTCATTATTTCTTAACTGTCCCTCTCATGCTTGTCTCCCTTTTTCCCAGTGATCCACATGTCCTCATTTAGCAGTTTTCAGAAGCCAGGAAGAAATGTTGCAAATAATGTTAAATATGATTAATATCTTGAATTCCTTGAAATATGACATGCATGAGTTACAATGAAACCTCTTTTATTTCCCCATGAAATGCTTTTGCATAATGAGAAAGAAAATGTCCTCTATGCCCTAATCAGCCCTGACAGTTCCTGGATTCCCAAATACTTTTATTTATGGCATTATTTATTTCATCTCTAATAAATGGAGGGGGGCCAGCACCATCTGAGGAGCCCACAGCAGAGAGGGAGACAATCTAGGGTGGAGGAGCACAGAAGCTGAACCAGCAAAGAAGAAAGAGAATGCTTCCAAAGGAAGGGAGATCAGGGAAATGAGAACCAAATGAACCGGACCCCGGAAGAAGAAAATGGGATACCTTCTCTTTTTCTAAAAGGAAAGCTCTGAAAAAGAAACTAGCTCCAGACCGGGGAGATGAGGGTTATACATCAAGGAGCACCCTGAACTCTGACCTGGATAGTGAAGAATGAAGGCTGGAACCCAATCCCTGAGCAGGGATGCTGGTATTGAAGTCGGCCTGAAGGAAGGGTAATTTGAGTCAGGGAGAATGGGCTCTGCTGAAAAAGTGACTGAGAGGAGCCCAGGATGTCCTCTATATTTTAAGACATCTGTACCCCATGAGGTTTGTACTCGAACCATTGAGATCTTCTCTAAACTACTGCAATTGTGTATTCTCCAGAAACTGGCCTGGTGGCACCAGCTGCAGTGAGTAATTTACTGGGCAATTCAGGGAGTGAGAACCCTTGGACAGTCTCAGTCCTGCAAGTGTGAGATAAATAGATAGATAGATAGATCTATATAGATAGATAGATAGATAGATAGATAGATAGATAGATAGATAGATAGATATACACACACACACATACATGTATATCACATGTACAAAATATATGTAACATTTTAAAATTACTCAACACCCCAAAGGGAGGTGTCATTTTACTCCCTCAATTATACAGTGTACTTGCTATAAGAAGTAAGCATTTGAATTCAAATGAGCTCAATTCATCAATTCAACTCTGTCGTCCACTCCTGAGAATCTGACTTTGGCCAATTCCCTTCAACCTCGGAGAGCCTCAGTTTTCTCATCTGTACAATGGGGAGACATGAGGGAGTCAGGTATTCTCTTGGAGTCCCTACGGGAAAACAAATGAAATAATAAGTACAGCACAGTGTGCACTTTTAGGATCAGCATATAGTCAGAAGCCTAGAGCCCAGTGTGGGCAGGACACTGGGGCCGAGATCTTCCAGATATACTCTCTTCCGAAGGTTAGGGGAGCAATTTCCGTCTGGAAGAGCTCTCGGTAGCACACACACCCACTCGGGCGACCCCGCCCTCCCTACTACGCACCACCCCCTCAGTGCAACTCTGAGAGTTCGAGGTCACGCAGGGGGACGCCAGGAGCGCACTTCCGACGCTAGACGCCGCCGGCCGCAGGAGACCCCTCAAGTCCACCTTGGGGCACCGACGTCTCGCCCTGGCGGGGACCCCGGCACCCACCTCTTTCACCTATTCCCCGGGCGCCTTCCAGGTTTCCGCTCTCCCCGGCCCTCCCCTCCCCCTTCCCCCCGTCGTAGACGCCGACTGCGAGTCCAGACCCGCGGGCGGTGGCGACGCCAGGCTCCGCCTCGCCCCCATTATCATTAGCAGATATTACCCTAAACACTTGCTCTTTACCTCCTTTCTCCCTCCAGGCATTGGCGAGGCAGCCTGTCAATCAGCGCTCGGGCGGCAGCCCCCCGCGCGGGGGCTCGGAGATGCCAGCCTCAGCGACAGGCGGCAGCGGCGGCGGCCACGGCACAGACACACACCCTCCTGCACGCGCGCACAGGGGCGCAGCCGGGGCGCGGGCGGCGGAGGCACCCTCGGAGCCCGGCGCCTGGCGGGGAGGGGACGCGCGCTGGGGGCCCGGCCCTGAGGCGCGGCATGGAGGAGGAGATGCAGCCGGCGGAGGAGGGGCCCAGCGTCCCCAAAATCTACAAGCAGCGCAGCCCCTACAGCGTCCTCAAGACGTTCCCCGGCAAGCGGCCGGCGCTGGCCAAGCGCTACGACAGACCCACCCTGGTGGAGCTGCCGCACGTGCGGGCGCCCCCGCAGCCGCCGCCGCCCCCGCC